AACTGGGCATCTGCTGTTGAGGCATTTATTACTTCTAGTTTGTTTTCTTTCACAATAACTTTTGCTCATCAACTGGGTCACTTGGAACCATACGTCGTGCTACTCTTTAGGACGTGGACATTTGTCGTAAGAACATAATACCGAGGGAAGGTTTCATCGTGTTCATTCAAGTCATTGACGTCAATATGGTCAATAAGATTCGATTACCTATGATCATCTTTCGTTACAGACAACTAAGGCGGTCTTGTACTCTTTAACATACTGGAGTTTTTGACACCGTACAAGGTGGTAGAGAGTGGAGAACAGTGTGATTGCGGTTCAAAATTCCATTGTGAATCAGATGCATGTTGCCAGTCTAACTGTATGTTGCGTTCAGGAGCCACTTGTGCTTTTGGAAAATGCTGTGCTGACTGTCAGCTTCTTCCAGCTGGAACAGTTTGTAGAGAAAGGACTAACATGTGCGATCTTCCCGAATACTGCACCGGAATTTCAGAGTGGTGTCCTGAAGATGTTTATGTACAGGATGGAGCTCCATGCTCTGATGGGGGCTATTGCTATCATGGAAAATGCTCTACTCACAGTGAGCAATGCAAAGTTATCTTTGGCAAGCAGGCATTGGTTGCCCCGCTGGAATGCTTCAAAGAAATAAATTCTCGAGGTGACCGTTTTGGCAATTGTGGCATTATTCCCGGTAATGTGTATAAGAAGTGTGAGAACAATAATGTCTGGTGCGGCAGAGTCCAGTGTGTAAACATTGGTGAAGTGCCTAATTTGAATGAGCAGAACACCATAATTCAAACTACTCTTAGCAACCATTTGTGCTGGGGTACAGATTCTCCAAGTGGAATTGGTGTAGCCGATATTGGAGCGGTGAAAGATGGCACACAGTGTGGCCTTGGCATGATATGTATTAATGGCGATTGCATCAAGGTCTCCCTGCTGAACTACGATTGTAATCAAACCAAATGCCACAACAGAGGAATATGCAACTCTCATAAACATTGTCATTGTAACTCTGGTTGGGCCCCTCCGTACTGCCTAAAGAAAGGCAATGGTGGCAGCATTGATAGTGGGCCACCCAGCAATGCCAGTGGAAGAAGGACTAAAGGCATTGTAATGGTTCTTTCTGCCGCTGCTCTTCTAGCTGGGTTTGGCATCTTATAACAAACTGAATGTTGGATGACAGACTTTGATAACTCCAATTCTGACACGAGGACAAATGTCCAACCTGCTATTATAAACTCTTAGGAGGCTAGGAGGATATAAGGAATATCCTTTCAGTGCATTGTGCCGGGATAATGCAATTTGTTTCTTGCAATTTGGCCTCTAAAGATAGTTTTCCGATCTTTATTGCTGTAGCTTTCTAGGCTTACGCCTTACGAAAAAGCTTATGACACTCACAATGTCATGTGGGCGACGGGGGCGAACAGTTAGATAATTACTGGGGAATATCCAGAAGAGCCGCTGTTGCAGTTCATTCCCCTCCTCATTGAAATGGGAGGTTGTTACAGACTATGTGGATGTAATCCAGGCTGTTAGGAAAACCGTCAGATAAAGATAGAGAAAATTTCAAACTTTAATCTACTTTAATTGGCTCTTCCCATAAAAATTGCTGCATGGAGGAGAGAACTGAAGTTTCTTGTTAAAGCTGAGCCTTCTCGGTACTTTACAAATTGGTACCATCGTATTTTGGATCCACAGAATAATTTTTGAAAGTATTTCTTGGAGCATATGCAGCTTATAAAATCTGATTGGAAGTGGACAATGAGAGAGCTGCTTAGAGAGATAAAATGAGTACCCAGACAGATCAAGTTTGCAATGGCATCTTCAGTTGATTTATCTGAATGGCCTATTATGATGAGATGGTGTGTTTACACAAGCACATTTTAAATGCCATTTCGAAAAGGCAAAAGTGCAGCTGGGGCTGATCCTTGTATACTCTGAATGGGGAAAGGACCAGATGATGAAGTAGCAAAGTCAGAGGTCACATTTTGCTCGGAGTAAACATTGCTCTAAACTACAGTAAGAGCAATCCCATTGGGCTCCTAGTGTTTGACATTTCTCTAGAAAAGAATGCCTCAAAATTGCACATAACAAGAACTTTTTGCTCAAGAGCAGCATAGGTATTGTTAATTACAGAGATTTGCAAAGGTGTCGAACACAAGATCAAATACTGCACAGAATCATAGCATAACTAATCTACCACAGACGTTAACCTGTGACAATATATTTCTTCTAGTAGGGTTTTATATATTTAATACAAGATTTGAGGTAGTGGTGAAATTGTTTGGTGCTCATACCAACACTCCCATTGACTTCAGTGATATATAATCATGTGTAACTGTATTGGGAATTGCAGCATCTGCTTGCAGCTTAATTGTTACACTGCTATTCTGTAGTGACTCCTGTGTATTACATCAATTCAGAAACTGTTTAGAAAGCATGAGAATAAACACATTATTGTAAAATTGTGATGACAAAAAATTTAGTTTGTTCAGGTTTTTTTTGTACTTTTTGCAGAAATCACAAGCGCAAACCAGCAGAGTTTTGTGTGCAATAGCAGCAATGCTCCTTCAGCAATCAAACATCTGAAATGAACACAGTACATTATTTCTGGAATTGTGTAATATAATATTGCTGTCATTATTTTCAAAAACTCGACCTAAATTTTAACCATTCTATGTCACTTACAGTCTGCCTTGCCCACTATTTTATCTTTAAATTTCCTTTCATAATCCATACGTGACCACTGCATTTGTTATCGCTTGAGTTTCCTGTAAGAATTAATTTTTATTTCTGAACAGTACCACTTCTTCAAAACAGATCCAGTTCACCATATATCTTTAAAAGAGGGATCTCATCCAACTATCGTAGATTACTTATCACATTGTATAATACAGTAACTACTTTCAAATGTGCTTTGTTATTGTATAACCATGAGAATTATTATGTAGGGATTATTTCAAATTATTTAATAAATTATTTTATACGTATTTTGTTGCTGTACTCTGTAGATTTTATTCTTCAGTAGTGACCTCACTAAAAAGGTAATATAGTTATTTGTCAGAGTGCAACATGTTATTCAAAGATTACTGAATCAGAGGTTTTTCATCTTCTGCTATGAATGCATCTTAGTCTCCTGGACCATGCAGTTTTTATCCATAAGCAAATTTTAGTTAATTTTCTCTTTTATTTGAAAATAATACACAAAGTACAAACCACTGTACATGATTTTTGGATCTGGTGCTCTATTGGTATAGTATTCTTCAATCTAATGCAGGGCTGTCAAACTGCCGGCCCACAGGCTGGTTGTATCATACGGAGGCTGCATTCACCCCAGTTCCAGCAATGCGAAAAAAGTCGTGATACGTTGTGATACGACACATGACGTTGCCAATTTGACACCCCTGTATTAGACTGTCTTCATTTCACACAATTTCTCATACATTTTCACTATTTTTAATTGCATGTTTGCTGGAAGCTTTATCATAAATTGTTTGCCAATGAATAAATATTCCAATTAGTTCTTCATAATAGAGGAAGTAGAAAAAACTGCTTTTTTTAAAAAAAATTGTTCTGAAATATTTTGCACCTAAAAACTGAGAATTAGCATTATTATCAAATTGCAAATAACAAGACCACGGGTAATATAATTGTGGCCTACTATGGGAGGTTCATGGCAGCTGTAGGTTTTAAGTGAAACTTGTTTATTTTCTGTTTAGCCTCTTAGTCACAATACTAAACCAGTGCTTGCAGTGTAACTAATTCCCTTGGTTCCATGAAATTAAGGAACATAATGATTTTCTTGTCACAGGACTGCTTGAATTCATTAGATCAGAATGCTTAGTAGTACTTTTCTTAGGAGAAAATGGAAATGAGTAAGAAAGCTGTATCCTGGGATGGGAGGAGAAGCTTTACTTTTCTCCTCATTTCAATATGTTGCCAAATGTTTGAGGAATGACCCCAGATTGTGAAATTATCTTCCATGCTTTAATGTTCGGTACTTGGTAGCTGTGGGTGGCAAATTTTGAGGATCCTTGCCAAGGCACAGACAGATGTGTGCACATACAGTATGCGTGTATATTTCTATGAATGTATTTGTATGTGTATAGTTATATTTTGTTATTTATTAATATGACACTACTACATTACATACACTGACTACAAGTACACAGACAAATTTCCATCGAGGTTGCAAATTGGAATTCTAATTTAAAGACAAAAGGACAGTTTTTATTGGTGTTATAATTAAACAAGTGGAATGATAATCCTGGGCATATCATTCAGCAATTTATTCATAGATTATAATCTTCTGACTTCCCAATGCTCCTTTAAAGCCATTGAAAACAGTGACTATAATGCTATTACATGCAGCGTACATACCAATAGGAACCTGTCAGCAGCTGTAAAAATTAAAATGGCTTCCTCTAGTCTAGGTAATGTGAAAACTCCCTTAAAGAGAACAACATGAACAAGAAAAATCATTCAGGTTTGCTGCTTTACTTTCCCCAAGATATATGATTGGTTTAATGGAATATTCATTTGATCATTTTTTGATTCATATCTTTATTAATCCACAGAATCTGTGTCAAAATAAGGCCACCTACTTTTTCTTATTTTTGGTGCTTTCTGTACTCATGTCTACATTACTGAGTCACGATGAAATGTCTTAATTTAAAAAAATTTAAAAGTATGTATTTATTTACTAAATTTATTTTCCAGCCATCTTGTTTCGAAGTGATTTGACATGGAAAAGTATATCATAAATAAGACAATATGATTTATCTGCTCAGCAAAATACTTGGGGATGGGGGGAAGATAACCCTCTTCCTGCCAGTCTGTTCCATTCTTCATCATTCAAGCTCCACCCACATTCCAAGAGAAGCTACATAACTGTTGCTATATACAGAATCCTCCTTTTCATCATCTTATTTACATCTGAGATTCTTTCCAGCTTCTTACCACTCTGTCTTCTACTTTAAGAGAGCTTCCTTTTGGAAATGAAATATGAGAAGGTGTGCTTTCAAGATTTCCTTCTGCCATGGAAAAAGACCATCCATCTTCTGTGGCTCTTGATGTTCCTCAGTAATCTTCTGACTGTGACTGCCAGACAAATACTTCCTCAGGGCTTTATTTATGCTTCTTATGAGGTGACCATCCCACAGTTATTAACTCCAAAACCTGGACAACAGGAACGACAGAATGTCACTTGTCTCCTTCATTTTGAGGGAAAGAATATCATCATGCACCTCACACAAAAGAAGAACTTGGTTCCTAAGCATTTGCCTATCTTTACCTACAGTAAGGATGGGGATCTGCAGCTGGACTATCCATTCTTCAGGGATGATTGCTACTACCATGGTTTTGTGCAGGACAGACCCTTCTCTCTGGTCACTCTCAGCATTTGCTCAGGAGGTCTCAAAGGCATCCTGCAGTTAGAAAATAAGACATATGAAATTGAACCAGTGCAGGGATCTACTACTTTTCAGCATGTGATATTTTGTTTAAAAGAAAAAGTGAGTGCTATCCAATTGAGATGTGGACTAGCACAGGAAGAGCAAAAACATCAAGAGACCATGTTCCAAAACATAGAGAATGTACTTTCAAAAACTGCATCCAAAGGAGACTGGTGGCTACGTACTCGATATGTAGAGATTGCTTTTGTGATTGAACATGAACGTTATTTAATGTTTGCCAGAAATGAAACTCTTACTGCTTTGCAAGTTCTTGACATTATTCATATTGCCAATTCTTTTTATGAACCTCTTTCTGTTCAATTATCTGTAGCTGGATTGGAAATCTGGTCACAAAAGAACTTCATAACGATTTCTCCTGCCATAGATAGCACCCTTCAGGATTTCACTGACTGGAGGAGAGACTTCTTGGTTAATCATCTAAAAAGTGATGTTGCTCACTTATTTGCATATAAGTCTTTTGAATTTTCACTTGGGTCAGCTTATGTAGGAACAGTTTGTGATGAAAGGATGGGATCTGCAGTTATCTCATATAAGACTACCAGTTTGTCCATTATCAGTAGCATATTTGCCCATGAATTAGGGCATAATCTTGGTATGCAGCATGATGAACAGTACTGTAGTTGTGGTAATGTACACTGCATTATGGCTCCAGTTCATGAAGTGACTGATAAATTTAGCAATTGTAGTTATAATGACTATTTTCTCACAATGAATGCTCCATGCTTGTTAAGTCCTCCAGACCCTGATAGAATCTTTAAAATCAAATCATGTGGCAATAAAGTAGTAGATAAGGAAGAGCAATGTGACTGTGGTTCAGAAGCTCAATGCAAGCTGGATCCATGTTGTCAGTCTAATTGTACATTTCGTTCTGGTGTCAGTTGTGGTTTTGGTGAGTGCTGTGCTAAGTGTCAGTATCTTAAATCTGGAACTATTTGCAGAAAGAAGACTAACTATTGTGATCTTCCTGAATACTGCAATGGGACTTCCGAGTGGTGTCCAGAAGATGTTTATATGCAGGATGGTGCCCCATGTAGTAACGATGCGTACTGTTATCGTGGAAACTGCATATCTGAAGATACACAGTGCAAAATGATTTTTGGCTTCAGTGCAAAAACTGCTACAGATATTTGCTTCAGAGAAATGAATGCTAAAGGCGATCGCTTTGGCAATTGTGGCCTTAAACATGGAATTTACCACAAATGTCAAACTAAGAATACTCTGTGTGGGCGAATCCAATGTGAAAATGTCCAAATCTTACCTTCTTTGGAGGAACACAGCACCATAATCCAAGTCCCCCTTGGTGATAAGCAGTGCTGGAGTACAGACTACCACAGTGGAATGAAGACAGCCGATATTGGAGCAGTGACAGATGGAAGTCCTTGTGGCAAAGATAAGATGTGCATCAACAGAAAATGCGTGAGCGTGTCTCTCTTGAAATATGATTGTAACTTCACCAAGTGCCATAATCGGGGAGTGTGCAACAGCCACAAACATTGTCATTGTGATTATGGCTGGGGTCCTCCAGACTGCCTGAGGAAAGGCCATGGTGGTAGCATTGATAGTGGACCTCCTCGACCACTCAAACGCTTAAGCACAATTGCAAAAGCTGGAATTATTGGAGGGATTATATATGTCCTTTCCTCTGCTTTTGTTTTGGTTAGTGTAGGGATATATTTCAGATACGGATTTATTCGCTTATTTAGAAGGCTTAGGAGAAGAACTGAGTCATGAACTACAGAAGCGAGTAAACAGTAAATCACAGAAATGAAGTATATCAAATGTGTTCCGAAAAGGTAATGGATATTATTATATAAAATGCATTTGAGCCTCTGGAATTTGAGTATTAATTTAAAACGCTGAAAAAAAATTGAACTTAATTTCAGGCAGTGTCATTTGTAAAAGTTCTGTTTTATTGCTCTGGTAAATACTGAAAACATTTCATGGGGAATTTTTTTTTACTACATTACTTAATTACCAAAGAAGAAGAAGAAAATAATTTAAAATTGCCTTTTAAAAATTCTAATAGAAACATAGTATGGGTGTTTAGGAGAAGCTGATCCTCCTGAAGCAGGGTCTTCCAGCCTGGCAGTCAACTTCATAGCAGCTATTGCTCAAAGAGGAGAAAAATGTTGCAACAACAACAACAAAAATCACTCATGGCTTTTATGGATAGAACAGGTACCAACGTATATTGCATTTGCTACCAACATCTTTCCCATGTGGCAGATCCATCTTCACACTAAGGGCCACCTGGCATGTTCTCTGCAGTGGGAAAATCCCAAGCATGAAAATGGCAGACTGCTATGAGTTCAAGACTGGATTCTACCCTGTGTGCTGGAAGACTTCATGGGAGAATCAGATTTGAGGAGAGAATTTGCCTTGGTAGGAAGTCTTCTTTATATAAGACATCCCTATGCTGTAGAACTGATCACCAGTCCTCCATAGGATGAGGGACATTGACACCCTCCTTCCCTCATAATCTAAACATTTGATTCTTGAACTACAATAAAACCTAAGTACCATCTCATCGAGGTCACAATAGTCTCTGTTCCTTACCCTTTAGACCGTGACGGAGAAATAGTATATTCTGATAACTTACCCAGTCCTTCTACGGAAAATAGGTAAAAGTCGCTCACGGACGTCAAACCCCCGTAAAAATCTTTTCTAGGACTCTGTAAAGGATCATGTCCTCAAGTACTACTTCTTGGGGTTATCTCCGAAAAAAAGGCTAAACTGAAATGGACATTTGCAATGGCTCAAGAAAAAACATTTGCCAGTGAAACTGCACTGCACAAGTGTCAGAAACCAGAAAGAGAAACTAAAGTACATGGTATCACACTGAGTGGATTAAAAATTCAAAGCAACGAGCTCAGATAGCATAAGAAATGCCTTCTTCGCCATCACTGAACATAGTTTAAGACATATCAATCTCTGCTTACACTGCAGAGGATTATATCAATATTCTGTGCACAGATTGAAGAATGTAGAATGTGGCAGTTTTTCAATAAGATGGTCTATACTAAGCAAGTATGCTGTACAAGGTTCTTTAGTATGATCCCAAGACCTATACTAAGAAGTCAGATCACCTAGTTTCAGATGAACTTGACTTTTCACAGGACATTGAAGATCAGCAGCTGCATCATGTTCAGAATGCGTGTAAGAAGCAGCCAAGATGATGTAACAATATTGACTGAAGCTTAGTAGACTTGAGATGGATGTTGAGTTGTTTTGGACTATAGTATGCATAATTGGCAAGGATAATTTCTATTGCATATTTTCAAAAGAGCCTTCTCTCAAATGTATTTATTGATACATTAATTTAGATGAATGTCCATCTATCAAAAAAAAAAAACCTGGGCAGCAAACAAGATGAAAACAAAGGGGTCCATTAAACTTCACCAAAAGATGAAAACAAGTATACTGAAATTCATTAAAACTGCAAAACCACTAATTGCATACAACCAGCCCACTATAGTACTAACTTCTTGACTCTGATGTCTATGGGAAAAACCCTTTTGAAAAGCCAGTAGAATAGAAGCTGTCCACATTTGGGGAGGTGATGCTGTTCCTTAGGCCATGTGGCATAACAGAAAAGGTATGCTATTGGGGATCACCATAAGACATTGTTTTTTTCAGTGGTACCCAGAGCATGCCTACTTTACCAGATCTGGTAGGATGGGCAGAAATCACCAGGGAGAAGCAGTCCTGCAAGAAATCTGGCCCTAAGCTATTTAGCACTTTAAAGATAACAACCATCTTCAATTGTACTCAAGCCTATTAGGAACTGGTATCACTTACACAGCAGCTTTGTTGCATGGGTATAATATAGATGAGCAGGCCACTGCACGCTGGACCAGCTCAATGCTGTTCAAGGGCAGCCCCATGTAGACCATGCTGCAATAGTCCAATCAAATTATTAAGGCATGAGTGACTATGAACATTGTTTCTCTATTTAGAAATATAGTAAGTACAACTGATGCACAAGATGTATCTCTGCAAAAGTTGTCCCGGCCAAAGCTGCCACCGGTTCCTTGAGGAAGAGTTATGAGTCCAGGCAAATCCCTACATTATGCATCCTGACCGGAGGAATGTAATCTGTAAGGGGTAATACCTTTTAGTGATCTAGGTCCCCTCCTCCGATTTTGGCGGTGAGTTCCACAATGGTTCCGTCTCGACTTCGAAATAGATAGGTCTAAATGTGTCGGGGGTCCGTAACCCTTTCGTGGAACATAGTGAACCGGTCGGGTTCTATATGTTGGCTCATAGAAGTGGTACGACTACCATGAATTAGGGTACCTGAAAGATGACTTCACCCAGCAGTTTCATGTAAAGATTAACTAGGAGGGAGGAGACATTCTGTGGCAGCCCACTATGGCTAGACCATTCCTTTTCTACTAATACTGATTGGAAACCAGCCTTGTAGGGAACAGGAAAACCACTGAAGACCTGGGTCTCCCTCTCTCAATCCTCTAAACCAGTCCAATACCTTAACTGATGGTACTGAAAGCTGCTGAGAGATCTAGGGCGACCAGGATGTATACACTAGCCCCTTCCCAGGCCCACCAGAGTTAACTAATGTGATTAATGTTTTAGTGCTATATCCTGGTATGAAAACCAACTGCTAGAGATCCAGATAATCCACTTCTTCCAGAGCCTTTTGGAGCTGTGCATTCTCAGTAATGATCCCCCAAAAGGAAAGGTTGGAGTCTGGATGAGAATTGTCTAGTAAAGCTAAAACCAGCAACGGTCTCGTGAGTAAGGACAAGCTACCATCTTCTTGAAGACAGGTGGAACAAGGTCCTTCCTACCAAGAGGCATCTGCCACATTGTGGTAGTCTTTATTTTTTATTTTTTTATGTATTCAACTTACACAGCTGCCTTTCTTACATAAATGACTCTAGGCAATTTACAATACAATAAATAATAGAGATAATACAAACAAAGACAAAAACACATAGCAACTGAACATATAAAATGACCACCAACAAAGCCAAGAGACAGGCTCTATCATTCACCCCTAATCCAGAAAATCGCTTTTGCCTCATATGGGAAAATTGAACAAGAACTTGAAAATTATGTTAAGCATGAAGGTGTGGAGCAAAAGTACAGCAAGCTATGGCCATTGTGGCAGTGTTAAAACCTACGGGAAATAAAGACTATAGAAACATCAAAAATAAGGTACTTAAACATTTAGAATAGAATAGAATAGAATAGAATAGAATAGAATAGAATCTTGGAGGTTTTCTAGTCCAGCCCCCTACTCAAGCAGGACAACCTATACCTGTATACCATAACTCAAGAAGGCAAACATATCAAACTCAGTTTCATTTTTTCCCTACAACGACTCTTGCTTGCTGTTCTTGCTGCATGGAGAGTTTGCATAATTTGATCTAACTGAACCACATCAGCAGCTTGCTATTAATGGTTTGATAACGAATGTCCAAATTGTTATTATCCATCACAGAGTATTCAGAGTTAAGCATATTCTGTTTGGAATCCCTGCAGCCCCTAAAAATTTCAACATATCATGGAGATTATACTTTTGGGGAAATTCAATACTGTGTTATACTGTGATAAGGTTCTGCTTTGGGAATCAATAGGGGAAAAATTCAATCAGCGTGGTATTCATTAAAATAGAAACATAAAAATGGAATTTCCTCTATCTCCTTCTTAGGTGCCTTTATTGATGCTTTGGCATAGTGATCTAATCAAGATAAAATATTAGCAATGCTTGATGCGCCTGCTCCAAAATTAAACAGGGGCTTTAAGTTTTCCCTTTTCACTTCCATCTATCCTGGAAAAATCAACACAGGAGCTGTTATGAGTGACAAAAAGTAATCCAGATGCTGGCTTCGCAAGAGTCCAATACACACTACATAGAATTTTACTCTAATTTACTCTAATTTAACTTGAATTTCAAATCTGTTGGTACCATTTAAATATTCTTAAGCACACGAAGCTATTAATGGGTCATTATCAAGAATTCTAATTCTTAGGTCAATTTGGAATATTCCAAAATGTTCTCTTTAAAAATATTTTTGAATTTTCAATAGAGAGATGTTGTGGGCATTACTTCTATCATGGATCATTCCAATACTAAAGCATCTCAAGTATCTTTGAAACAAGCAAAGTGTCTCTTCTGTATTGGTCCATTTATGGATTGTCTTCAACTTTCCAGTAAGGGGGAGGGCGCTCAAATTTAAAACTTAGCATTGTCTGTCCGTTTCTGTTGTTGCTCTATTAAGCTCCACCCATATTCCAAAGAATTCCATGTATTGTTGCTATGGTGAGAATCTTTCATCTTCTGAGTCATACACATCCTTCCTCATTTTTCTCTAATCCAGCAAAAGTTACGGTGAACTTCTTTTCCATGGATAAGGTGTCAGAGGTTCTACTTTGATGGGTTTCTTTCCCTTGGTGCGAAATGGACAAATGTATTTTTGTCTATTTGTGGCTATTTGTGATGCTGTTGAGGAAGAGCTTGGGTGAGACTGTTGAAGAGAGATGGCCTCCAGGCTTTACGCATATTTCTTATGAAACAATCATTCCGATGAAATTGACTCCCAAGTCTGGACTGAAGGAACCAGAACACATAAGCTATTTACTGCAGATTGGAGGAAATAACCAAGTGGTGCATCTCAGACAGAAGTGGGGTTTGGTCCCTAAACATTTCCCTGTGTTCTACTATAATGAAGAAGGAGATCTCCAGATGGACCAACCTTTCATCAGGG